CCTTTGAGTAAAAAGTTTTCTATTTAATAATTAAGATTCAAGGACATTTATCCAGTGAATTAATTAAATTTGTTTTCATCCTAGAATTTCCACACAATTTTAGTGAGATGTATTAGAAATTAATTGCTACGGAATTTTGTTTGTATATGGGCTAACACAGTTTGCAAAAGTTAATATGACATGCATACTAAAATGTGTTTATTGATTAACTTTATCAGGATAGCAATAGGATATACAGTCTTACTGTATTGCTAGAGAAAACTTTATTTAATAGTTCTGTTATTTCTTTTATACTTTAGTTCTAGCAAAGATGTCCAAGTTTTTTTTGTTTGTATCCAGCAGATTCCTCTAGGGATAGAAAATCCTAACTGCGTTTGTAATATGTTATAAATCTTTAAATGATATATTTATTTCTGATGTTATGTGTTAGATGCCCCTATTATAGTCCTGTAACTAGGGAAACAGTTTAATGTTTTAATTTCAAGTAATATTCTTCATAATTCTTTGCCCTTTTGACAGTCGAAAGGCCTATAGTTTTAGTCTGTACTCCTCCGGAAGGCACAGTGATGCACGCCTGTAATTCCAGTGCTCAGGCTGAGGCAGGAGGATGACTATGAACTTGAGGCCAGCCTGCACACTGTAGTGTGATTCTGTCTCAAAAAAACCAGGCAAATAAAATTTCAATAGACATCATATTCATTAGCTGTAGCTTATAGGACTGCATAGAGTGATCAGTAGCATTTTTGCATTGATTAGTTTTCCTACCTGAAAAAAAATATTTCTAGGACTTGAGAAAAACACATTGAAAAACCAAGTTATAATTCAACATGTAGAAGTAGCAAATATGCCATAAAACATCCTTGAGTAAAAAATATAAATCAAACTCTATGTGAAACATTACTAACACCAGGCAAATTTCTTAGGACAGGTTGAGTATTTATCTGAAATGCTTAAGACCAATTATATTCTTAATTTTAAACTTTGCAGACTTAGGCAGACTTTGACATACGTCAGGGCATACTTTGGGGCTAGGACTTGGTCTAAACATGAAATTCAGTTTTACTTTATATACGCTTTATACACATGTCCAGAAGTTAACTTCTATACATTCTATATTTTGCACATGTTGATGAGCTATATCCTGTCATGTGATGTCAGTTGTAGAATTTTCTACTTATAGCCTCAAGTTAGTGCATAAAATTTGGTATTTTGTAGCATTTTAGATGTTGGATTTTCAGTTTAAGGGATGGGTGCTAAACTGTACATACAGCACCTTTAATTTCAATGAGTAAAGATTGATAACAGTAAAAAAATAATTGATAAACAATTCCATAAAAAATACATTTTAGCATATGAAAGATAGCCAGATTCACTTATAATCTTTAAGTGCACATTAAAAAGTATGGTAAAATGCCATTTTTCACACTGATAGTTCTATACAGTATTATTGGGAAATGTCAATACTAACAATAAGCAAGAATTAAATATTTAATGATAGTCTTCATGAATAAGTTATATTTAAAATGGATTCAGACAAACTTCTAAGTATGAACATTGTTGCATTTTCAATGTTCTGTTTCAAAATATTTTATTTATTTATTTATTTATTCATTTGGTCCGGGGTGGCTTGGCATGTGGTACCAGGCATCGAACCTGGGTCCTTGTACTTGTTAGGCAGGCACTTAGAAGGCCGAGCTACCCTCCAAGCAGATGGTATTTTCTTTGAGATCAGACTTGAGGGATTTTGAGCTCTCAGTAGAAAAGGTATTAATTTACATTTGTTTTTCTTTAAACATTTAAGACAAATTTAAAACAATACAGTGCATAGTACATTTAATAAGACAAGTCAGTGAGTAGTGTCTCAACATTTCCCACATACCACAAGCCCCTCAGTATGCTGGGCATGTAAAATTGGAAGAAATATTATCCCTACTCATCTCAGAAACCAATTAAGTCATAATGATTTCTAAATGAACTCCACATAGGAAATATTCGATTTGAGATAGGTCCAGCAAGGATTTATATCCCTTTGTAGGTTATAATTTACATATTATAATCTTTTTTTTTCTTTTTTATATTTTTAGTACAGGATCTACAGGGTCTCACTACATAGATAGGACTCGTAGTGATCCTCCTGTTGCCAGCCTCCCAAGTGCTGGGACTACAGGCCTACACTACCATGCCCAGTTTCAGCCGTCTCAGCATGGCCTGGGGGCAGGGCCAGCATAGCGCTTTAGTCAGCTGAGCTCTCTGGCTGGCTCTATAGTCATCTTGACAAAAAATCTTACCAAGTGTAGCTCTGTGAGTCCAGAGAAAACTAAGCGTGTTTATTATATGCATTCATTAGCACTAATATCAGTCCTAGGTAGTGGGTGCCATCGTCATCCCCATTTTACAGAGGACATAGAGGATGTACGTTCCTTAGGATGCTTAACGATTTACTTACTAGTTCAGTTTAAACTATTTAATACTGTGCCTTCATCTCTATTTTGCAAATGAAATACCTAAGATTCAGAAGTTCAGTGATTACTACAAGACTAAATGGCTGGCACTCGTGTACTGCACTACCTCAATAGAGGCCTTCTAAGGAGAACAGAAAGAACAATTTTGCTAGCACTTCTCACCTTGATAAGAACCAACTGCAGGGGCTGGGGATATAGTTAAGTGGCACAGCACCTACCTGGCAAGCACAAGGTCCTGAGTTTGATTCTCAGTACAAAACAAAACAAAACAAAAATCACAAAATGCATAGTTCCTCCAAGAAAACAATTGCAATAAAAAGAATGTTCTTTTTTATGAAAAAATTTCCTTATTCAAGTAGAAGCAAATAATTTTGCTCATTGACTCTGATATGACAAGAAATTTTCAAGATAACTAGATAAAAATCACTATTAATTTAAGGCTTGCTCCTCTGCCTTGTGAAAAGACTATCAGCAGCCCAGAACAGGGCTGCGCCAACAGAATTCCAGCTTTTCTGTGGGATGATCCAAAAACAGCAAAGAGACGGCATTAAATTTCTTAACATTCACAAGTGTGTGCATGCATGTTTTGCCATTCCTGTCATTAGCCACCTTTTGGTGTACATAGATTAGTTAGAATACTTCGATTTGCAGGCTAATGTAGTCAATGGAGATTTTTTTTTTCCATTCAGGAGAAAAAGGCAGAGTAATTTAAGAGCATGTAAGGCCTTTGCACTTTGTCTTGTATTTGTACAGCTCTTGACTATTTATGTTTAGTCTGATTTTAGGACATTTACCTTAACATTATACTTTCATGTGTGAAAGACATTTGCCGGATTAAGATCTCGAGCTGTTCCTCTTGGGCTGTTCAAAAGCAGGTCTACACAAGTACTCTGATGTGAAGCAGAGAATATGAAGTAAATATAATGATCTTTAAGAGAAGGCATGGCTCAGCAGATTAAGTAATATTTAATCTTGTATCTTCATAAGTAGATCTCACTCTTAGTAGTCTTCATGACAAACTAAAAAATGAGTACCAGAATTATTTAATGATCTACTTAAGAAGTAAACAACTGAGTTAAAGAAATGAGGCAGAAATGAAGGGTTAGTCTGGGTATGGAGCACATTCCTGAGCCCCTTTATTTTCAGGCCAGAGCATCTACACTATAATTGAGCACAGTCAGTGGCATCAGCACAGTCTTTGGTGACGAGCAGCACAGCACGCTACTTAATGTCATTTACCTCCTTTCATAGAAGGGCAGTGGGTAGCGAAGAGGAAGGGGAGACCACATGGCATGTATTTAAAATTTCTTCTTTTTGAATTACAGCAAACTCAGTAAAGCTAGAAATGCAAAGTGATGAAGAGTGTGACAGGAAACCCCTGAGCCGCGAAGATGAGATCAGGGGCCATGATGAGGGTAGCAGCCTAGAAGAACCCCTAATTGAGAGCAGCGAGGTGGCTGACACCAGGAAAGCCCAGGAGCTTCAAGGCGAGGGAGGAATCCGGCTTCCGAATGGTAAACTGAAATGTGACGTCTGTGGCATGGTTTGCATTGGGCCCAATGTGCTTATGGTACATAAAAGGAGTCACACTGGTAAGCAGCTGCAAGCGTAACTGATGACTGCCTGTGACATCTGATGTTGATATTACCTGACATCTATTCTCTTTCCTTTTCATTCAGGGGTGACAGTGGTGAAACTACCTTTTCAGAATTCTGCTAGTATTGGATTGCTGGAAAGCAGAGAGTAGCCTGGGTCTTGACTTCCAGCCTTCAGATCTGAATAGCATATCAGAAAAGAAGTTTGGGATTCAGTTTCCACAGTTCTTAATATAGCAATAATATGATAAGGGTTCAAAAGGCATAGGAGAATTTCATTGGGTAACTTAATCTTTTTGTATTTCTATACATATTTTACCATACCCATGGGCAGGTAATAGAGTTTCCTAGCTAAGATTTTATAGTACAAAATGGCACTCACAGATTTATGTAAGGGAGAATAACTTTGCCTTTATCTAGTTAACTTCTTGAAATTTGATTTACAGTCAATCTTTGCCTACCATAGGCCTCAGCAGTAGGCAGGTACTTTTCTTAGTTCAAGAACATCAGTCCCTTTTTTCTGTGAGTTTTGGTTATAGCTCCTGCTAGGAGTTATGTGGGGGCAGATCTGAAAAGGGTGATAGATCCATAGGTGAAAATGTGTAGTCATGGAAATGTCCTTCCAAATGAGAAGGGCTTATTAAATCTTTACAAATCCTTCGCCAAAATTTAAAAACTAAAAAGCAGCTGAGATGATTGTGGTAAGAAAGGAAGATAGTTGACTTCTTAATGTTTCATGTTTATATAAAAATTGTTTTGAGGTAATGTAGCTTTCACTATAATAGCAGTATTCTACAGTAAAATATTAATAAGTCATGTAATTTTAGTATGATAATCTTTTTTAAGGAGTGACAAATCACTTTGAAGAAATTTATTTATAGTTTTAAATCTAAATAATTTAATAATTGAGACCTTAAAACATGAGATGTAAGTTGGGCATGGTGCCACAGGCCTGTAACCCCAGTACTCAGGAGGCTGAGGCAGGAGGATCACTGCATTCAAGGCCAGCGTGAAGTACATAGTGAGACACTGTCTGAAGGAAAAAAAAATGTGCAAGTTATATCAAAATGTTTGTAGTTTACACTTCTCACATTACACATGAAGAAACAGTCAGTTGATTTGTAGGTAGAGACATGGCTGAGGCTAGAAGCAGGATACCCTGACTTCCAGACTAGTTTGTTTGAATATACCATGCTTGATATAATAGTATAGCCATCGTTTATTATGAAATATGATTATAAGGCTGATGCTCTTTAAATTATCACTAGAAATACTACATTAAATCATTGTTACCATACTCACTAGCTTTACTTGTATATACTTTTTCCAGCCAACAGGCAGTTACCTTTTTGCTTCTGTTTTAAACTTCCTTTTTAAAACCACTGTGCTCTTAAAATATTTGTATTCCTAATACAGAGCTGTCTTTAGTTATCTAAAATGTCTTAGGTAAAGTTGAAAGATCAAGCCTGATGCTTATTTGGTAAGAAAAAAGGGTAAAGATTACAAAATAAAATCTATTTTTTAATCAATTTAAATGGGTTCCACAAAGTTACAGTACGTTCCCCATGTTAGAGCAAGAGTATTGAAGATCGCATTCATTCAAATGTGGAACTTCTCCCATTCAACAGAAGACAAACTGAAACTCAGTCTGAGGACTTCATAGTTGGATTACATATAGCATTAATTTTAAGACCAAAGTTTATACTAACAACTATTTTTGGAAGATGTTTTAGTAAATGTTTTGAGTTTTTAGGTAAGAAAATTGCAAAGAAAAAAATTTAGGGTTATCAATATTGACTGTATAGTAATATCCATAAGGATTATTTATAAATCAAATATTATATACCTGCTGTACCACCCATTTGATATTTATTGTTGTAGTATAGTCAACTTATTTTAAAACTGAAAATCATATATTTGGCATGGAAAGTGCTTATCCATAGTTGTGCACATTTCCTTATGAGTCCGGAATATGAGACACGACTGGTAAAGGCAGGATAATGGACTAAATAACCATTTAATGTACACCGTAGTACTGTGTAGTTTTTTGTAAATGCTTATTGGAGCACTGGGAAAATGATTATAATCTAGGAGATTTTTGTTAGTGATAATAGCCAGTTATTCATGATAGACTTCGGGATACCCACCAGGCTTTATTGACTTTGCAGTTTTGGATGTTAACATCTTAGCACTTAAAATAAGTGTTGCTGGTGACCCAGTTAATATATTTGAATGGGTCCTGTAATTTCAAACCCAGTTTATTGCTGTTTGAGAATAGAGTATCTATTTGTTTTTTAACTTGATTGAGAAAGGTATATTCAGAATTAACTTGGTTAATTCGACTGATTAACCAAGTATTTTGTCTACAATATCAACAACAATCTTCATTTTACAAGTTTCCACTCTTAAATATTCATAGCTATTATAAAAGCCACTATCTTCCATCTGTATACAGCCTTTGAGCAACATATTTTTGAATACCTTAACTAAAGTGCACAACCACCCAGTTATTACAGTGACATGGAGTATCAGATCTAGTTCACTTCTTCTTTCTCTTTCACACTCTACCAAAGTGCCAATTTCAGTGTCATATTAATGGCTTGGCATTACCTCTTTGGCTATGCTTCTTTAATAAATAATCAGGTAATATTGTCATCCGATACTCCAGGCACTCTTCTTTAGGAATATAGGGAGAAGGCACAGATCTGCAGGAGCATTATAAATTCAGATCCTTAATTTTGCCTCCCTTTGGGACAGATCATGCCCATCATTATAGTTTTCAGCATCCTATTTAGTGCATTGTACTGTTGCACAATCATTTTCTTGTCCTAAGATGCTCTCTTCAGGTCCTTATGCTTGTCAGGAATACCCTTGATTTGATTCACCAGAGCAAATGGATGCCTGTATATTTGTGTTTCAGTTGAGTATTTAAATTCAGTTTAAAAATATGTAGCCATTGAAATGCATCACGTACTGAAATTATCACATAATAAAATCACCTGTAAGTTCATAATGCGAATAACTAAAAATGGACAAGTAGATGTGAGTTGACTGAATCTTAAAAACAAAACAGGTTGAGGACAGACATGAAGGATACCAAGGCAACATCTAGTTTCCTGGATCCACAATTATTAACCCAGGCGTTTGTGACCACCAGTGGGAAGATTCACTGTCACACGTCCAACAGACTACTTACATGTTTTGAATTGGTTTACTCTCTAATATCTTTAATATTGACTTGTTAGGATGTATTAATATTAAATTGTTAGGGTTTTCTTAGGATTTTTTTGAGTTACATATGAAAAAAATGATTTTTTCAAAATCTAAAGTGACTCAAGAAAGGCCAGTTGATTCAGTTCATTTAGTCAGAAGAACAAATTTCCAGAAAAAAAAATACGTGAGATTGTTAAGTAAAACTTGATGGATAATATTTTTTTAACATGTGTACCTTTTATATTGACAAGAAGCTGACTTTTTACTTCATTATAGGTAAATTTGCATAACCTTTTTAATGCCTAGGAAACATCCCACAATATTCAATAAAAGGATTGCAAATGTTTTACAGGTGGTTTTTCCAAAAAGTGATTTAATACACTTATTTATTATTGTTAAACAGAGTATATATGTGTCTTACGTTTAGAGTACTCCTGAAATATGAATTATATACTTAAAGTAATCATTTATCTTCTACTTTCATTATTTCCTATAGTAGTATGACTAAGGGATTCACCATACTTCCAATTACATTCAGTGTTGAATATGATAAAACTATTATTAAAATAATATTGTTTTATATAATCAAGATATTAAGAATAATCAAGCAGGCTTCAACCTAAAAATGAGGAAACCCCATAAAATTGATACCCAAAAGTAAGAAGCATTGAGACTTGTTCATAACAGCTCAAAGTCTGTTGGGTTGAAATCAAAGTGTATTGTTGTTGGTATCCTTTCCCTTTGAAAAAAAGTTACTTCCAGCTGGTCATGGGGGCTCACGCCTATAATCCCAGCCCTCTGGGGGGCCAAGGCAAGAGAACTGCACAGTCAAGTGTAGCCTGAGCAGCTTTGTGAGAACCTGCCTCAAAACAAAACATCTTGAAAATGACTGGGGATGTCATTCAGTGTGAAGATCCCAGTTCAATCTCCAATTCGGACCAAAAATTTTACAAAGTTATCTTCCTCATGCCTTATCCTTCACATTTCATGGCGTTGGGAATTTATCAAAGGCCCCCACTGCAGTGTTAGAAGATGTACCTAGAATGTCTTTCATTTTTTTTCCTATCCTTTTTGAAGATGTCCATATAAATTCAGAAGTAGATTTTTAATAAAAAATATTGAAGATATCTGGAGTAGTTGGCTGTGTAAAAGCTAACCTGTCATTAGTCCCATTAAATTTAGTTAGTTGAAATTTAAAATTATTTTTTAGATATGTTTGCTCTTATTCTTTTTTAGCTTATTTTATTTATTTATTTACTTACTTACTTACTTACTTATTTATTTTGCAGTACTGGGGATTGAACTCAGGACCTTATGCTTGCCAGGCAAGCACTTATTCTACTGAGCTATCTCCCTGGCCCCTAGCTTAATTATTTTAAATAATGAAATAACTATTGTAAATTAGATTTTTAAATCAATTCAAATGTTATAGGTAGTTGAAGAGGAAAATCCAAGTCAGCATGCTACTACAGTATTTTCAAAGGAAAATACATTTTTGTTTAATATTCTTGCTAATACAATTCTTAGAAGATTTTGCAACTACCAATGTCCCATCAGGAATGTAATCATACACTTCAAAGAATTTTTTTTTAATTTAGGAAGTTACTTCATTACAGTTTATTATTCATCTGAAAAACCTTACATAGAGGGATTCTAATTCATTTCAAATCAAATATTTGAATTGAAAAAAATTGAAATAAAAAAGTATAACATATTTGCTATTTTCTCCTTTTCTAAAAGCTTAGTTGGGAAAGAAGTACCTCTGTCATTGCTATTTCAGTGGCAGGGGGAGAAAGTAGATAGACTTTGAAAAATTGCTGTCTGCTGTCTCTTTGAGGGAAAATAAAATCAAACGTTCAAGTTAAGTTGCATATGTGTATTTATAAAAAGTCAGATATTCAGAAATTAGATTTAAAGGGTTTACAACTTTATATGACAGGTTTTAGATTCTTGACCAAATGAATCAAACTAGTTAAATAAGATACAATTTTAGGTAGGTTTTACATCATGAGTGCTTTTTCAACAGATTACATCATTATAAGATGGGTCTATTGTAAATTTATGTCTAAGAGTTCTAGATTTCTTAAAAAAAAAAATCACCAGGCACACATAGATTGTACTTTTTCAATATATTGTTTCTCTTTAACTTCCCAAAAGAGCAGGTAGAACAGAATTCAAGATTTACCTGATCTAACCATTTAATTTCTTTAGGTGTTGTAACAAGGCTGTTTGATAGAATCTGTAGTGGCTACTGGCAGAAAGTGATTGCAATGACCCCTCATTTCTTTACAAAAGAATCACTAGGTTTGCATATATCAAGGGTCAAAAATATAGAGAGATTTTATTATTCACTATTTTGATGAATGTCTCAATAAAAATATGTGAAACGTGATAATCCATTGTGAATTTTTTAAATTAAATTTATAACCATCATCTGATAATCAAGTACAGAAATATTTTACTTCGACTTGAACTGCTTTTAAAATTTCCTTTTTTTCTAAATTTTGAGCTTTAGTACATTTACTACTTATTGATATATGAATTTATAATTTCATGTCTGTCTTTAGAGATAGGCAAATTTACAATAATTTTGTTTCTTCTTTTGATAATACTCTCAGTCAGATCCCATTTGGCTATTTTTCTGCTTCATCACCTACATGTTTTTGTGTGTGATGACAGGTGACAACTTGCTTGTGGCAGTAGACTAAACTGACAACTCAGGCTTAATTTTATAGTAATATCAATAATAGAAAAATGAGAAAAGAGTACTGTTAAACATTTTCATAAAATGATGAGACTATATAAGAAATGTCTAGATGAATAATTTTCCTGTAGTTATCAGGAAATGTTGCCAAAGGTTTCACTGTTAGTGACCATAATGATCAAGAGATTTGGGGTCTATTGGAGATCTGTGGTAATGAGCTTTGTAAGCAGGCTCATTCACTATCCTTTCTTTGGCTCCTTTTCAGCTGAAAGAGGGAGTTAGCCTGCAAGTCTCTTCCAGTTCAAAATTTCTGTAAGTTTTAAAGAGGTAAAATTTATAGAAAAAGTTTTTGTATTCAAATTTACCAGGTTCAGTTCTCAACTTCTAACTCTGTGACTGCAATCAGATACTTTGAATGTGAACCCCAATTTCATTTGTAAATTGAAATTAGTAATACCTAATTATTAATATAATTCTAAGAATTGAAATATTGTATGTAAAGCAATTAGTGAGGCAGTAAAGTAATGGTATCTAGTTGCCAGCCACTAATAAATACTATTATTGGTACTGTTCTGAGCCAACAACATGAATCTTGTCGAATTTATATGTAGAGAGGAAATGACTGGCCAACCAAACTTAGAGATTTGTTTATTAGCAAAACCAATTCAAAGGAGAGGTATTGAGAAGACTTATGGGGAGGTGAACATCAAAAACAGACCTGGCTCTGGTTAAGAGTGGATTATAAGTCAGTCATTTGCACGTAACCCACTTGGTCTTTCCACTTCTTCCCACAGGGGAACGCCCCTTCCACTGTAACCAGTGTGGAGCTTCTTTTACTCAAAAGGGTAACCTTCTGAGACACATAAAGTTACACTCTGGAGAGAAGCCCTTCAAATGTCCTTTCTGTAGCTACGCTTGTAGACGAAGGGACGCCCTCACAGGACACCTCAGGACCCACTCTGGTAAGTGTCCCCACGCCTTTGACAAGAAAGCTGAAGTTGAGATTTCAAGAGCATGCTACCTTATAATACTAAGTAACCTATAGCAGTGGCGTACATAGTGTTGTCCTTTGTGTGTGGAAGCTGATAACTCTTGTGGGATGCGTGAGGCCTTTTCTTTTGCAGATGTGCAAGTTGGCTAAAAGGAGCACAACAAACTAAAGAGTTTCTTAAGGATACTGGAATGAGAAAAGTAGCTGTTATGTACATTTTATAGTTTAATTTTACAGTTATTAATTATAAAATGAAATATGGCTAGCTCAGGACAATTCAATACCTAGTGAAATATAACAGTTACATCCAGAGGTTGCTATAGACGAGATAAAAGTTGTTTAGTTTCTTTGGTTGGTTGTTTTGGATTTTGATGACTGATAAGCGGTCCTCAGGCTGGAATCTCACTGTGAAATCCTTGTGTTGTTTCTTTTAAACCTAGAAACATTGTATTTGTTAGAAAATTGGCATTTGCAGTAATTTGTATTGCATTTCAACTATTCTTTTCTGTTTAGCTCTCAACCCATGGTCCCTGAATGCTGTGTGAATCATTTTGCACTTCATAAATCATTTAAAAACCTAGAACTTTTTAAAATAAATGCCAGAAAATAAGTACATAAAAGAGAAAGAAATCAGAAATCTGACTCTCATTTGACTTTTAGCATAAATAGCCATAACTAAGAAGTTAAAGGTAGAAAATTAACATGAAATACTCTCAACCCAGTTTTATATGCCCCTTCTGTCTATAATGACATATTGAACTTTAATATTAATGGGAAGATAAAAGGGAAGTGTTATTGTCACCTACATTGATAAATTGTATTAGAAAATTGTCAGGTTATGCTTGTATTATCTTTACATTTTTCCTGTTATCTTTTAAGACTACACTTGTGAATATGAATCATATAAGGCTACTTTAGTCACTAACTCTTAAATTTAGAAGTTATAAAAGTGAAATTAATACAACCATTAAACATGTTTTAAGGGGGCCGGGGAGATGGCTCAGTGGAATAATGCTTCCCTGGCAAGTGCAAGGGCCTGAGTTCAATCCCTGGTTCCACAAAAAAAAAAAAAAAAACATGTTTTAAGTACATGCTTTACTTTTCTCTCTGACACAGATGTAATTTACTTATTTTCATTTTAAAATTATTCTCTGAATATCCTCTAAAAGTGATAACATTTTATTTTGAAACTTTCTATGCATTAAAAATATTTTCAAGACATGACAGGTATCTTCATTAACTAACCATGTGCTTTGTTTTAGTAAAGTATTACTGAATTGCCCAAGGATTGTGTAGTACATAGGTTTTCTTTAACACATTATTGCCTCAACTTTGTGCAATGATACATTTAAATATCTGCATCATCCTTTACAGAATTGTGTTGTTTTTATCATCATACTTATTGTACATATACTATTTTATCCTTTTCCGTAAGTAAAGACAGTGCTTGTAACTCCAGTTGTGCTAATTTTGTAACTTACATGCTAAATCATATTTCTGCAGAAATATAAACAGCATATTTTCAAAGTAAGTGATTAATGGCAGTTTAGTGGAGTGACTGAGAGGGAAAGACAGGCATCTGCATCATCACCCAGGAATGATATCAACTCATTTGTATTTCCAACTGCCTTCTAAAATATTAGTCACCACCAGTGTTCTTTTACTTAATAGAACATAAGACATAGATACTGAAGCCCATGACTTTCTGATTGACCAGAACTCAAAAGTGATCTTTATAGCTTTCCCCTTCTGCTGACTTCCATCTTCCCCTGACTCTGCCTTCTAATACCAGGACTAAAGCAGATTTATTATCTGATAGGTAACTCTAACCTTAATTCTTTCAAATTCTGAGTCTTTGGTGGTGTCTTTGTTTACTGCAGTTTTTCAATCACAAAAATTACTGGATAAAGCTTTTAAGAGATGTCTGGTAAACCCATTGAATCCAAAACATAATTCTCCTTTACCTCATTATACTAACAACCTAAAATCTATTCAATAATCTTCAAACATTACCAAAGGTAGCCAAGTTACCCTCCTGTTGGTTCAGCAAAAATAGCCAACAAGTATTCTCCACTTCCAATCCAACAATACTAGAACTTAACCCTGGCAAAAGCATGCTTTACTTGGAGACTGAGATCCTCAGAAGTGCCAGACTTTGAGGACAGAGTAAAATCTCCTTTATCTTCAAAGTATTCCAATGGCCACTTCTATCTTACTTTCTTTGTTCTCAGATTCATATAGTCTGGCTGTGTGAGATTTCTGGCTGGCAACCTTATGTGAAGCATTCCCTTGGAAGGTTGCTCCATCTTTTAACTTAAACAGCTGATTCTAGATGGCGGAACATGGTGTGCAACAGGCAAATTCTATAGCATTGAGCTTATTGCATTTTTCTTTGCCATGGTAACTAATAAAATAGTCTGTTAAATCCATAAACGTAGGAGCTTGCAAAGTACTGAAAGGAAAGGAAAGACGAGCTTACATCCTAAATGCCTATCATTTCCCATGAGAATTATTATTTTTTTTTTATCTCCTCCATGATGGAAGAAATCCAATGCTGTCTTCCAGGTACTACTTGATTGGTTTGTCTCACTGGGGAATAATGCCTTATCAGGATCTTGGCACTGGAAAATCAAGTGGTAGAGTTAATTCAGTTATAGAGATGATCGTCCATGTGGTGGAATTCATACAATTTCAACCTTAACCCTTAGTACATGAGCCCTTTGAGAAAGAACTAGAACACTAATGTAAACATTCTGACATAAGATATGTTACTTTGTGGAGATTACTAAGAGCTTTCTCCACAAAAAAAGATGTAGTATAGGACACCATGTGCTCACATTTTGTGCCAGTTCTGAGAGATACGTCCACTTGCCCCATCATCAAGTAGTAGTCATTTTGGTACTATTCATTTGATTTAATACAAAAATCAAAGTTTGGAATAGACCTTTGACCTTATTTGCTCTGAAGCTTAGGGAAAGAAGGGATTTTATTATCATTATTATTATTATTTTATATATTTAGTACAGTGTCTACAGGGTCTCACTATGTAGATCAGACTTATAGTGATCCTGTTCTCAGCTTCCCAAGTGCTGGGGTTATAGGTGTGCATCACCATACCCAGTCTCAATTGCTGTCTCAATGTGCCCCAGGGGTGGGGCCGGCGCGGCAAGCTGGGGATCAAATCCTGGTCCCTGCGACTGCCTAACCAGGTGCTTTAGTCCGCTAAGCTATCTGGCCAGCTCAAGAAGGGATTTTAAACTTTCTGAAATTCACCTGTGTTCTGACTTCAGCATTTGAAGCCATTAATTTGTCTTTTCACTTTTTAAAAATTTATTTTATTTATTTATTTTTAATCATTTTGTACAGGGTCTACAGGATCTCACTACACAGATCAAACTTGTAGTGATCTTCCTGTTTTCAGCCTCCCAAGCACTGGGATTACAGGTGCACACCGCCATGCCCAGGCCCAATCGCTGTCTTACGGCACCTGAGGCGGGGCTGGCATGGCGCACCAGGGAGCGAACCCTGGTCCCTGCGCCTGCCTAAGCATTATCTTCACTTTTGTGTGTCTTCTTTGGACCCTTTGAACCTGCCTTGTCATGCCATAAGGTTCATACTGCTGTTGCATTCGTATGTCAATGCCGTTGCTTCCAAAACCTCACCACATCATGCTTCCGTCCATACTACCAACAGTGACCTGAGAGTAGTCCTCCTGATAGCACATAATATGGCTTCAGTATTGCATTATTTACCTGGTAAGGAGGGTAAGGAGGCTGTGCCACTCTGCACACATGAAAGGTCCAGTCCAGAAATTCATTTTGACTATCTGGAGCCTTGGGGCATCCAGTAATTCTTATTAGGATCTTGACAGTAAAGCAGTGCCACACTCAAATAGGGAAAATTTGAGAACATCCATGAAAGGACAGATACCCTTAAGAGAATGGCTAGGCATGAGGGAAGCCAACAAAGGTGGGTTGAGGCATCCCAAGGCCAACAATAGCAAGAAGCCATTACCAGGCTTAGACTGAGGGGGAAAAGGGACTAAGTGGGTGCTGGGATTGAGAGCGGTAGGACATAATCTTGATCTTGATCACTTGATCCTTCTGTAGAGAAATGTAGCCTTTGCTGACACACGACCTACTACGCCATATGTACTATGCTCTTTCAATCCTTTGGTCTCCTACTGGTGCCTCACCTTGACTAATGTTAACCAGATGCCAGAAGATAAATCAACCTATCAAATGAGCCAATAGAATTGAACTCTACAGAAATAGAGCTTTCTAGGGCCAGCCAAATAACTCAGCAGATTAAAGCGCCTGCAAGCAGACCAAGGGGCCAGGGATCCGATATATATATGTATATATATATATTTTTTCTTTCATATAATATATATTATGTCTTTCTTTTGAGACAGAGTCTTGTTGTGTTGTTCAGGCTGGCCCTGCAGAACTCATGATGTAACTCAGGGTGGCCTCAAACTCATAGAAAAATACGTATGTATATATTTATATTTAAGATTCCACTTTTATTCTCTAAAGGACTTGAGGTAGTGTCTTGGCTTTGATTGCACAAACCCAATAGTTAGGTCACTTATGGATAATATCTGGCATTCTTCAGATCTCTCTAGGCAGTAGAAAGTATACTGAGCACTTTCCATGTATTTTATTAAATCCCTTTTATCTAACAGAAGCAAAATAGAGGTAGCTTATAGGTTAATAACAGTAAGTCCAGTAACAATGAAAAATGCTTTCAATAAAAATGTTCTTAACATTAAAATTGATAAATATATTAGTCAGATTTCCTGTCACTGAGACAAAACACTGACATATACAGCTTAAGAAGGGCTTCATTTGGCACAGGATTTGGAGGATTCAGTCCATGTGTGGCTGGTTCCAAAAGAGAAACAGCACGTGGAGAGCATGGTGGGCCAGTCGCTGCTTGGCCCATGCCCATGGAGAACAGAGTGAACGG